CAATATTTTGCCAATATTTATTCAAGGAGAGATTCTGGGGATGCTGCAGTTGTGGCTTTTTTTTTTTTTTTCTATCTTGGAGCAGACTTAACATACAGCATTTAACTGCATTGCAGGGGACAGCACAGCCCTAAACTCCATGGAATGAAGGAAGCAGAGTTTCTGTCCCATGTGGATGAAATAGAGCCACAGACAGGACATGCTTCTCCACACAGCATTTTAAAAACAACAGCTCTCTCCCTGGGACTGCCAAACACTAAAGCAGGCTGGCAACCCACTTCTAGCCTCCACACCAGGCAGTTTGTGAACAAAGCTGACACCAAGCATGCAGATAGGTGGATTAGACTTCCCACAAGCCTCAAAATACCGCAATCTGCAGCAACACAGCAAAAGGGGTGCCAGATGTCTTCAGTGCATTTGAAGGAACAGGCAAATGCTACAGCTCCCCAGTAAAAGCAACACTAGTTTACAGATCAAGATGCATTAGAGCACTGATGCAGCGTTCAATAATTCTGGTTCTTCCCCCAGCATGAGCCAGAAAGATTTTCCAATGCAAGTGAGCATCAAAGTGAAGGAGAATAAAGAAATGGGGAAATTATGACTTTTTCAGCTCACAGTGGTTTGTCAGGAATACAAAGTATGATCTAAATCTCCTTCTTGTTTCCAGTGAAGAAAGTTTTTTCCACCACCCTAACAAGGAAAAAGAGCCAACAGTGAGTAATGGAGCCACAGAAGTGCATTAACTCTATTGATAGCAAAGCATACAAAATCTTACCAACAGCAAAGCCCATCAATTAGAACTAGGAGCAACAATAGAGGAGAGCACGACCCAGCAAAAGACAAGATATGAAGGATCAGATCACTGAAATGTATACAGGAAAATAAACTCACTGCATTTTAAAAGAAATTCCTCAAATAGGAGGCAGCATACAGAACCCAAGGTACAGACACATGAGGGACAAATTCCCAGGAAAGCACTAAGTCAGCAGATTCACTTCCCAGCCCAAAGCCGTGCTTTGCACTGTAGTGATTTACACAGATTAAGAAGGAACAGTTTTAGAAGGAAAGGCAACACCAAGACAAGGGCTGAGGGAAGGCTGATGTCAGGGCACAGCTAGCCAGAGATCCAGCTCTGCAGCACAGTCTCCCATAGCTCCCTCACTGCAGCACAGCTTCTGGACCTGATTCACACCCGCACTGCTCTGCATTCAGATAGTGCTTTTCACCAGCAGTTATCTTCGCTTCTGCGGTGCTCTGGGCACTTGTGCTCAATTCAGCAAAAATTCAAACCATCCTGTAGGTGCTTTTCACCTTTTTTTTTAATTCCCTTTCTTGCAGAAAGGCTGTAATTCACAGCTCTGGTGACTCCTGCCACATGTCACTGCAGACCGGCAGGCTTTTTATTATGTTATTATTTGGTTCTCCTGCAGAAGCTGGGATAGTTGTACTATTTCTTTATCAAACACAAACACTGATCCCTGGGCCAAGTCTTTATTATTTTTATTTATTTATTTATTAAGATAACACTGTACAATTCTCTTGATTTCATCACGCCAATGTTCTGCAACTGCTGATAATGTTTCTTACTGTTTGTACTTAATGAGAAGCATCAGTAAATTAGACTGCTGCATCCATCTAAGCATGCAGTAATTGTTCCACCTTCAAAAGCAGAAGCCCATTTGTTTGCCTGTCCAAGGTATTACTCAAAAGAAATAGAGGAGAGGTCAGAGACACAGAAAATACAAAAAGTGATTAAAAAAAATCATAAATTGCAGTGCACTCCAGGCCCAAATCCATAAATCCTGCTGCCACCACTGTGTGACAGGAGCTTGGAGAAATGGAAAACTGAGCTTTTGCTGCCCAAAGGGAATCCTGGGATGGATATGAAGAACAAGAGCTTATTTCCAAAAGAAGACATTTCCAAAAATAATTGGGGTGGCCATGTATACATACATTGGGAAATATTCTACCCCTGAAAGGAAGCCAAATTCACCAGTCTCAAAATAGCTATGAGTTTCATCAATTAGAGATATACTTTGCAGAGAAAACATGGGAAAGAAAACTGGGAACTTCAAGTCACTAATGAAGACAGTGCTGTTTTAAAACCCTCCCCCCAGCTGAAAGGGGAAGTGAAAGCAGTTCTAAAAACAGACTAAATAAAATAAAAGCCAGACAAGGGGCATCAGGGGCAGCAATGGATATAAATTACAAAGCCGTTAAGGGACAGAGAAGGACCCACAGGAAGCGCAGCGCTCATAAGAAGATAAGAAAAACAAATAGATGTTTAAACACCATCCAACAAGTGCAGAAGTCGCAGCCCAGCACAGTGACTGGCTGTAGCTGTGCAAAACACTAAGGCTGAGCACCACCACCTGAGTTCACCCACCCCAAACCTCAGATCTGAATGCAGCATGCCAGGCATTTGCTGAATCCCTGGCAGCTCATTTGGATAGAGGCTAGAAAACTAAAGACATCTTTTTCCAGACTTTCTCTCAAAGCCTGCTGGCATGGCTAATGGCTTTAGATTTCCTCAGTACATAACGTGACAGCTGAGCTTCCCACGCAACTCTCACTGAGGCAAGAGTGAGGAGGCTGAGGGCAATGGGATGGAGGCAGCCTCTCTGCAACTGTGGCTTTGTGCCTTCTCCTCCTCCCAGCCATACCTTTAAAATGAGCTTCGGGTAAATTGGAAATGTAACTTTTAAATAAAGGCTAATTAGTCCTAGGAAAAGAAATTAGGAGCGTCTGTGGGGAATTCTTCTTTGAAGGAACGTTTTACAAGCATCTTTGATCTTTTCAGTAGAACTCCAGCTCGAGCACTGCAGCAAGACCTCTACAAGAAAGAAGTTTGAGACCTGCAGGGCTGGAGAGGGAAGTGCTTCAGCCTACCCATAGCCTCAGTCCCCACTGCTTCTCTGATCCCTAGATTAAGCTCTGTGTAAGACAAGGAAATCACAGCCTTGTGAAGAGTATCAGGCAGCTCCCAAGCATTTGAAGAGTACAAAACCTGAGTCAGCCCAACACCAGAGCACTGCCTCTCCCAGCTCCTAACACCAGCTGCTTCCAATCAGTCAGACAGACAAGCAAGAGGCCTGATGTAAAGATGTAGAAAAGCAAGAGTAGAAAAGACAAAGTCATTACTTATTTTCTGTGCCTCTGGGGTGAGCTATGGACCCTGAGCACAGAAAACACCCTGTCAGCTCACTCCCCACCCTTGTGCTCAGGTCAGCAGCAGCTCTGAGGAGGGAAGGCATGCTGACCTGACTTCATCCTTTGCACTCCTGCTCAAGTATGCCTGGCCTCAGTCCCTACCAGGCTGAGCTGGGCCACCCCTGCAGCACAGAGCCAGAGCATCTTCCTGCTGCTCCCAAAGAGAGACACCACGCAAACACAGGGGCTGGGATGACCACACTGGGTTGCCAGAAATGGGTGGATCCAGACGAAAGAGAGGAATGATGGTTCAAATAATCAGCAGATTGGATAAGTATAAAGAAACTAACAGTGCTGGCAAGTCTGAGGAAAGCGAAATCTTTTATTCTCCATCTACTCTCCAAACAAAACTTTTTTCGGCTACCTCAAAAGGTTGGTTTGGGATGGCAAAATAAAAACAGGATGTCGCATTTTCAAATGTGACTTCCCAGCAAGCAGCACATCCAACCCCTGCAATTTAGGGACAAACTCTGTCAAAACCCAGCAAGATCACCATTGGTCTGTATGAACTTGTTTGCTGTTTCCCTCTTTTCCTGGTACACCCAAGTGCTAGGGCATCACCTGTGCAGCAAAGCAGAGAACCCTATGGAAAGCTCTCTCCTCCTGCCACACTGCCAGTACCAAGCAGGAGCTGGGAGTGCTCATACCAATGATCTACACACACTTGTGACCTAAATTCTTGGGCCTGTACTTTAATTCTGCAGTTATGCACCTTTAACAGTTTAATAACTTCTGTGCCATAGCTAAAGGCAAAGCCATTCCTTTGTTAGAGCAAAGAGCTGGTGAGAGAAGAATGCTACCAGCCCCACAGGCACTCCCATAGGGGAACATGATGCTGGAAGGACCTTCTCAGACAACAGTCCACACAGAGCTTTAGAGAAGAGAGGAACAAGCAGGGAATCTATCTCACACCCCATGCTTTGAAAATTATGAATTTGTTATCAGAGATGTGATAGACTGGGTTAATTAAGTACACAGTAACAGTGTCAGGGGAACAGAATGGGTTACTTCTCATGCAGAGTTAATACTGCAGATTCAGACTTGTCAGCAGAAGCCGCAAGACACCAGGCAGCTATCAATACTTTGTCCCAGGGCAATCAACTAATTGGCAGCCTAATTGCCAAATGACAACAAGCCCTGGCTCTGCTTCAGCCCTACCAGCCCAGGAGTCACTGCCTTCCTCAATCCTCACAAGCTACTCCCCTCCAAAGGTATGTGCTGGCAGCAGGGTACCAGGGATGGGGCTGTCAGTGCCCATAGTGCCTGCTGCAGCTTCAGCTCTCAGTCCTCAGATCTCTGAATATCAGTTTTCCTCCCAGCCTGCGAGCAAGTGTTGAACCAGACTCATAAAGCTCAGCAGCATCACTGACTGAACACATAAGTCCTTCATAATTCAGAGGAGAACAACAGAAAATGCCCTTATCCAGCCTCCCCAGAGCATGTTTCTCCATTACTTCTCCAGATGAAAGATACATTGCTCCCAGCATCACTGGAGAGGGAAAGCATTTTCAATTCGAGATCATTATCAGCATAACAAAGGAAATTTTGATATATAGCTGTGCCACCCATCTTGGCTTCTGATGGATGATGCCTGCACACGTACCTCTGATAAAGCCTCAATGCTCATAAACTTCATCTTCATGCAGACTGCAAGCTATGCAGGAAGTGACTGTGAGCCACAGCCATGGGCGTCCTGGCACTGAGAAGGTACTGAGTGCTGGTGCCAAGTACTCAGTGCAAAGAGAAAGGAGCAACTCAAAGGCTTTAAACAGGCGAGAGAGTGGTCACCCCTGTGCTCAACCTCAAACTTACCTCATATACAACCTGCATCTTCCAAGTCCTTTTGCTGTTTCTTACAGGATACAGATAGCAGCCCTGTGAGCAGTACTGTCAAAGAATTGTTCCCAAGGGCCCTGCTGAGGGAGCAAGCACCCACAGCTCTCACCTGACCTCCCCCTTCCATCTGCTACTGCAGCAATTCCCTTTTAATACGAATGATGTTTTTAATGAGCACAGCTCTGTTAAGCATCTCAGCTGCACTGCAGCAAGGCTCTAAGCAGCTACAGCAAGTGACCATTATAAACACAGAGATGTCTGACAGATTGCTGTTGGAGCAGGGAAATGAAGGACTGCACAGCTGCATTTCAAACTGAACATTTCCTGTCCCAAGATATTGCTCCCTGAGATGCAGATACTGTGAGAGGGGACTGAGTATTTTCGATCTCTTTTCAGACTGGAGTATGCTAGAATTGCACTTGACTGCAGGTACTCAGAAGCAGATTCCAGACCATCCCTACTCTTGGCACAGGCAAAGCACTGCAGGAGGGCAGAGCTGGCACACCAGTTACACACATTTCCAAGAATCAGCTCCTCTCACTCCCACATCTCCAATTAAAGCACGTGGCTGTTGTCAAAGAAGTTGCAACCTCTACAGTTCACTTTGTGCAGATATTCACTTATCAGCCATGACCACCTCACAGCTAACATGACTTGCAAAAATTCCCAGCAGATAGTGGCTGATTTGCATGTGCACCAATCGTATCAGAGGCACAGGAAGAAAATACCTGCTTTTCAGGAAGGAAGCACTGAGCCACGTGCGTTAAGCTCCAGGCTGAAATTCCAGTGATTTTGCTCATATAGTTCACAGTGCAGGACAAGAATGAGTTTTAGGCTTTAGAGCAGGGAGTAGCATAACACCCAAGAACAATGCAAGCTCCACTAAGCAGACATTCCCTTTCTGGTACTCCAGTCAGCCCTTTCCCTACTTAAAAATGTTCCTAGCCATTAGTATTTAAGGAAGCATTCTTTGTTTCAAAAAACATCCATTTACTCTACTTTCATCACATTCAACTTTCAAATAAAGTCCTGCTGAAGTTTCAGTTTGATCTACACTCACTTCCTCACAGGCCGTGCTGCACCATGCATATGACCGCTGCAAACTACTGCATACTTGGTGTGACAAAGCAGCAATGCCTCTCTCTGCTCCCTGTCCTCCCCAGTAATTCACATCACGGCATGCACACCAGTAGCTTAGTTAGAAAGAAAAGCTCAAACTGCCATCCTGAACTTTTTTCCTACGATAGCAGACAGGACAGGCTTCCCCACCAGCACTGCAGCCCTGCATGACACAAGGAGCTGTAACCAGCAGCTACTTCCATCGATGGGCTTGACCAAAAGCAGTGTGTCATACCTTTGGGACACGTCTGAGCCCAGCTCTAATACCAGGAGAGGAGCTGCAAGACAGATCAGGAAGGATTGCAGCTACCCAAAGAAATTTATCTGAAGGAGTCATGGCCCTCAGTTACCACCGCTGTTACAAATCCATGCAAATACTTTAAAGACAAAAAGAAAATCCTGATAAGCATAGAAAATGCCAGTGCATTTAAGCTCTTTATAAAATTAAATTGTGCCTTCAATAATGCCCAAACACAAAAGGAGATGTATAAACTTCAGAAGTGTAAATCCATGAAATACCAGCAGCAAAGCTGCTGTAATTGATAAACTCCCGAAGGGCACGTATGCAGGGACACAGAAAACAAATGCAGTTGGCCTCAGCCCATTTTCTGAACGGCCTTACAGACCTTCTGCATGCTACCACCATGTAACTGAGAGTCCCAGGACTACTTCAGGCAAGTGAGGGCTGAAGGATCCCTATTTCAGCTTTAGGGGATAGGTGTAAAGGTGATAAGCCATTCCAAGTGAACATAATCCCTGGTTTCAAGAATCTTAGAAAAACACTGCTTTCAGATTTACTATTTTGAAACACTACAGACTCTCATTACCAGTTAAGACGTATCCCACCTCAACACCACAGTCAAAGTAGAGGACACACCTACCTCAGCATCTGAGATGGAGACTCGGTTGGACTCTATCGTTGGCCTCCTCATTATACGTGGTGATGGCCCTGTGGCATAATGACCAAAACCCGAAGCATTGCTCAATGCCAAATGACTTCCTGATGATCTTTCCTGAAGAGACAACTTCCTACTTGATAGCACAGGTCTAGCAAGAGGTCTCTTGGAAGCATGCCCACAGTGAGCATCGTCTGGCTGTTGGGAGGGCAGGAATTCATTTGTTTCCACGTCACTGTTGACTCCATTTCTTTGGATGTCTTTTACGTTATCAGAAAAGACAGTGTCATTTTCTTCAGTGATGTCTTCCCCATTTTGGTCACTTCTGTCTGGGTGAACAGACACATCTATGGCCGCCACCCGCTCTGTGAGTTCAGCCTGTGTGTCTTGGAAGCCTGTGTCACTGTCTTCAGCCACAACATCTGTTGGAGAGTCCTCCATCACTGTGTGCTGCCCACAGAGTCTCAGATGGGCCTGCAGAGAGCTGGAATGCTAGCGCTCACAGTGAGAGTATGGCATGACTGAGTGTCGTCTCAAAACATCTAGAAGGAAACACAAAGAGAGGTGAGTGGCAATGTCCACTCAGCACAACATAATCAAGACACTCACCTTTGACTCCTTTCATCCAGAAAGGAAATGAAGACAAAACTCTAGCAGCCTGTCAGCAAACAGCAAGCAGCCACCCAGAAGGAAAGGCAGCACCAAACAGTAAGCTAGATACAAAATTCATACTAGTGATAAAGTTGAGATTATATCTGTGCGCAAGAAGTAACACAGATAAAGGGAACTTCTCTTTCTGCAGTTAGAGTGAAAGTCAGCCTAAGTTCACAAGGAAGTGAAGAAGTATGGCTTCTCAACAAGCCAACGGTTAAGGGTCAAACTTTCAGCCTCCTGAATTCTTATTTGCAGGGTAGAAGACCTTCCTGTACGTATCCAAACCCAACATGCAGAACAACAAACCCACAGCCATTTAGGACTCCACAGCAGCTTCTTGGTCACCCTGTATGGCTGCACAGAGTACCACAGAACAGCTTGGAAGCCAAGCTATGGTCGGTGACTCGCTGCTGTAAGTTTAAGCAACTTATTCAACAGCAAAGGAAGAATTTAAGAATGAGTTGTTCTCTGGGGCTTCCTCTGGACTCCCATGGTTGCAGCCTATGGGAAAGCACGCATCATCCTCACTGCCCACCATGTATAAAAGCTACACTGAGTTGCAAATCAACAAGGCTTAATGATTATCAGCATGTGGGAATTGGCTTTTGCTTTGGAAAAGACCTACAAAATGAAAATGTAACACAAAGCTGTAAGTGCTGAATAAAATTCACTGTTTCCTGCATGCTAATTTCAGTCTCAATTTAAACCAGAGAGTTCAGTCTTCCCAGTGTGGTCCAGAGCAGGAAATGATCCTCTGCAGCACGTCTGTCAACCCTTAATCACTTCTAAAGATGTGCTGCTGCCAGATGCATCATCTGATCACTGTTTCTGGGGAGAACCTAAAGAGCATTAGTCACAGAATCCTGGATTACATCCAGAGAACTATACAACTTTACTGTAGGCTTAACATGGAGATACAGCAACCTTTGGCTCTCTACAGGCGAAGCAGCCACAGAAGCTGGATGTCACTCACAATGCCTTGTTTTCATGGTCACTACATTTAATTTACAGGAGGAACAGGTGGGCTGAGTGAGTTCAAAAAGCCCCATCCAGCCATCAGCCTGGGAACACAGGTGATGTCCCCAAGAAGCATGGAGCAAAGTCGAGCCTGGCTTGAAGCTTCCCAGCGATGTTCAGTGAAACTGCAGCCAAATGCTGCTGCAAAGAGGAACAACCTCCAGGTCTGCTGCAGAAGCACAGCAGACAAAGATAAGCAAACCTTTTATGTCAGTAGGGAAACCTGAGAAAGATCTGGATGGCAGATTTAACCCCAGGTCACGGGCCAACCACAGGGAAAGCATGCCATGCATTGAATGTCACAGGAAGGAAACATCCAAATCCAACACATCCTTCACCACAGGCCTGCTGTTCACCTCCTTCCCCTCCCTGGTATAATCTTCCCCCATCTCCTGCCTTTCCTGCAGGCATGTTTGAAATAAACTGACAGAAACGTCAGTCACTCAGAACAGTAATGAAATAATGAAATCAACTTTAAAAGCTTCTATTAAAACTATATTTAAACCCTTCAATCCCAAAGCTGCTCAAAGATCCCTCCTGGAGCAGGAGGCAGGCAGTGGGGGTGACTTGCAGCAGCAGGGTAAGGGGTGCAGGGCTCCAGCACAAAGCCACAGGTAAACCAGCACTATATCCCCTTTGCTTGACCTCCCTGCTCCCTCTAACCCCAATTCACATTCACCTACAATTCCCATTATTAAGCCTCACTAGTTTGTCCTTACAACAAGCTTCATGGTGGAGAGCCAGCTGCAGCCTGGAGCTGGCTCAGCAATGAACCTTGCCCTCCGAAGTGCATTTGCATGAAACCTGTGGAGGATTTGTTGTCTGCAACACAGGCAGGGTTTACTCTTGCAAAGATTCTGGCCTGACTTAGGAACATCAGGTTACAACACTGCAAGCCTGTGGCTGCTCCATTACCAAGGCTGCTCTCCTGCTGCAACACAACTCCAGGGCTGGGCTGCAACTCCTACCCTCTTTGAGCACTCTAGCTTCACAGAGACAAAAGATTTTAAAAGGATGGACTCACTGAAAGACTAACTGAAGGGTGCAGCCCACAGCTCATCTATTTGCCTCCAGAAGTGTTAATGCTTCAATGTAAATCTTATGGTTAATTCACAACTTCACCAAAAAAAAAACCAAACAAAACCAAAACACATACATGGTTCACCACATCAAAACCAATAAATCTATATAGCATCAATGCTGCTGAAAGTAATAAAAAACAAACAGCAAAACTTTAAATAACTGTTCATTTTTACAGTCAGGTTTGTTTTGGATTGTGCTGTTCTAAAGGATTCCTTTTCACAATTAGACCTCCCAAAAGTATTTCAAAAAGCCGTATTTTCTGACTAAGCAAATCAATTACACATTGAGCAATCTCACAGTGCAAAAAGCTCAGGAAAAAAGACAATTATTTATTTCTGCCAGGCAAAACTAACGGTGGATTTGCAGAGTTCATCAGGCTGTAACACACCTGCACCTCGCTGCAGCAGGAAATCCCAGTGAAACACACACACCACAACTACCTCCTTAGAGCTCCTGCTGCAGCTCTGTGTCTGAGGCTCCTCTCAGGCTCACCAGTCTGATCCCAAACAACACCGACCACCTGCTGCAGATCAGAGGATTCTGCTGCAGACAGGAACTAAAGCTGCAAACAAGCTTATATGAGCAGAATTAATTTACTTACACATATCTTATTTACCATTTTTCCCTTTAGCTATTCCTCTCCTGCAGGGAGACTGCGACTTCACTGGTGTTTTCTGCAGTCTGTTTATCAAATAGCTGCACACGTTTCCCAGATAGGCAGCGAGCAGAACGTGGCAGAAAATATGTTTTTAAAAGGAGTGTGATTCTGGAAAAAATCTCTCTGTATTGTAAGAGAGATGAGTGAACTTAATTTCGCTGTTCGATAAAGTATTTCAAAGCAGTGCCTGAAAAATAGAAATTGTAAACATAGTTTACTGCTTGGTCCTTCCATATGGCTAATTAGAAATGTTCTTACAGAAAGGACCAGGAGGTTACAAGGCCCTGGGATCAGCACATCCAGCTTCATTTCCTGACTTTGCCACAGGCTGCCCAGAAAAATGACTTTACAGTTTCATCCGTCACAGTTTCCAGGTTAAAATTATTATACTGCCCTCAGCCCACCTCATCCCATTTCCCCCTTTTTTTTTTTTTTGTCTCTGAGAATGTATTTGCCCTGTGCAAAGGAAATAAGGAGCCATTGTAGTAAAATAGATCACAGTGAAGCGTAACTACAACAAACATTTGCAAACAAGGCATTCAGGCAGCAATTTAGCTACTGCTCAGTGCTGGAGATCTCTTCAAATGCCTGAGATTGATGTCCCCTGTGCCAGCTCGGGAACTGGCAGGGACTGTGTGTCCCCATTTGAAGGCCAACTCTATTTGATGCCTCTTGATCTCACAAGACCCACAGGCACTTCCACGAAGAGAGTTTCCAAAGCTCATGGACAGTTCAGTCTGCTCCTTTAATATACAACAGCAAGATCAGGAATCAGGGCAAGTTTTCCAAGCAGTGCAGATAGCTGTGTGCTGGGACAGGCCACCTGCAGAGGCAATGTCACCTCCATGACCAGCATCTTTCAGGTCAGTACCCAACACTGCCAGGCCTTCAGCCCTACTGTGAGCCACATCTGGCTGCACAGGCTCTCGTGGCTCCAGCCCTACCTTGTGCTGCATTTCCCTTCAGATATTCCCCCACAGCAGCACAGGATTAATAACCTGCTCTGGCTGCTGTCAATTAGAGCCACAAACTCCCCTTAAGGAGAGAAGCAGCAAGTCCTAGACTGGGCTGCCAAGTCCTGAACAGCTCCTCAAGTGACATTTTTGAAATATTAGGTCAGTAAGTTCCTTGCAGTGCCTGAGCTGTTTCCCCGCACCAAAGAACACAGCCTGTGACTATTTCCATACCGGAGTCTCCCCTGCACTCCCTTTTCTGCATCTGGGTCTGCAGGACCTACCTGAGCACCAGCCCACTACCCTGATACCAGGGAGATGCTCCACACACACCCCCCTGATGCCATCACCCTCTCACACCTGGACAAAGCCCACACCCAGAGTCCAAGCAGCTGGCTCAGATACCTTCAGCCTAGAGAAGCTGAAGGTGAACTCAGTCTGAGCTGCCCTGCCACGATCCCCTCATGAGACACACAAGTCCCAAGTGGGCTGTTTCATATGTCTCTCTGTACCTGAGAGAACCACCTTCAGGCATCCACTGGTTGAACGGTGGTTCAGATGGAGCACCAAATTGCTATGAGGATATACAGCTTTATGAAGCCAAAAAACAAACAAAAAAAACCCCAAATCTCTGCAACTCTTGCAGAGATAATCAAGACAGATGGATACCAGACCAGTCACTCAGACTATGTTCCCACTAGGAAAAGGGTAAGCTGCTGTCGGTACAGACTCCCAGCCAGAACCAGGAGACATTACTACAACCCAAATAATAAATAAGAACATAGTGTTTATGCTTTTTACATACGTTCCATACATGTGCCTCTTTCTCTACCTTTCAAGGCTCTTGTGTCACAGCACAGACAATCATATCTTGCTGAGAATCCACTCAATCCTGCTATAATAATTCTAGTCTATTTTCCTCTTCTCTCCACAATTCTTGGCAGTGAGCCTGGTTGTTGTGGCACAGCTGAAAATTAGATCATAAAAGAGAGGAGCTTTGATTACTTCTGTGAAGCTCATAGCACAGCTTCAAAGGTAACTGCTGAATGACAAAAAAAAGCCCACAGTATTTCTGCAGTTCAAGTGTTGTGTGAGAAATCAGAGAAGTGAGGTTCAGGCACCTGCCCTGCCACATTTCCCAAATGACAAACATCTCCTGGCCACATTCCTTCTTCTG